GCTTTCTCCTTTCACAAGGCCTCCAAGCAATTCTCCTCTATCAAAGAACATCTCTGCCTTAACAATCTTGTTACTCTCTTTCTCCAACTGTTTCAACAATCATTTAATTAATTAATAAAGAAAGGAATAATTTAATTGAAAAGGAAGATGGTTTCTGGTAAGTACTTCAAAAATGCCAATCCCAAAGAGCTCAACAAGTCCTCCAGTAGAGGCATGTCCTTTAAATGGACCTTCCATGTAACCCCAATGCCTAAACTTGTACACTATTTCTGGTGGTCCTGAATAAACATGTAGGATTTCAATCGCGAATCCTCGTAAAAATATGGATCTGAAAACTTTCTGTGATGATTCAAATGTTTCCTCGTCAGGGTTGTAGATTCGAAGACTCTCTGGCAATGATGTTTGGAGGAATATATTATAGCTACCGCCAAGCTTTGCAGATTCTACCGGTGTCAACCCTTTCCTACCTATAAATATTTTACACTGTCAGTGCATATAAGTTAAACTTAAAGTATAATATGGGATAATTCTCTCAATTGGTCATGGTTGAAAGACGTAGCAATACAGAAATAAGGAGAAGAAAATCGCACATACCCCTTCTCCTCACAGACAATATAGTGATCAACTAAGAATAGCTTTCTTTCCATTAAGAAATGAAGTCTTACAATTAGGTACTAAATATTTTTGCATAGAATGAAAACAACAGCAGAAACTGTGACAGAAGTATACCATTGACACTAATCTTGAACTTTTTTGGATCAACAGTTTTGAATTCATTAGGATCTGCCTTGTGGACTATTTCCATTTCCCAAGTCTTCAACAGCCTCTGCACTTTCTCTTCAAGTGATCCTTCAGGCCATACCTAACAAGTTAAGAGGTAAATAAATCCAGTTTCTATTATAATGTTAAACTTCTAAATTTGGGTACTAATGAATGATTTTATTTTCTTTAAACATGGTATTTCACTCTTTACTGAAAAAAAAAACGAAAATAAATAAGTAACACATGTATCAATCACACTATTACATAAACGTCAGATGACAAAGTTCATAACAAATTCAGTAGCTACTTGTACAATAGTAAATGTAAAGTACACGAGGAAGAACATATTTACTAGTTATATCATCTTAAATATCGAGACATTCTTAGAATCAATCAAAAGAGTTTCTAAGATGTATTAAAAAGTGGGGGGGGTTGAAAAAGAGAACATACATGAGTTCTTTCTTCTTCAAAGAGCTTATCAACAACATCATAGGTAGGAGGACCATTTCTCCATTTTGTGTTTTTCACCTCTTCTTCACTCAAGTAGTCTCTGTATCTGTCTCCCCCTCCTACTATGTATCTGTCTCCCCCTCCTACTAAACTTGCCATTTTGTTTTGATACTAACTAAGAAGCCTTCAACTTCAAGGGGGATTTTATATGATCAAAAACCTAACCAACGACAAATCTTGGCTTCAAATTGGTCAACTAGAAATACATATTCTATGGAGGTATCGTGGAAATAACGTGCAGAGTTCAATATAGGATATTTTATGGGTTTAATACCTCTAAATAAAATATTATCCACTAGTACTAGATTGAGTTTTTCATTATCCGCTGAACACATTATAAAAATTAAATAACAGTGAAATCAAAATGCCACTATTATAAATGTCAAACTTGAGTTAGACGGGCTTATTGACGAAATCTTTTTACTAGCACCCGTATTTACATTTAAATTAAAGCGAGAATACATGCAAATAATTTAACTGTGGTAAAA